CCATTTACATTTCTTCTGATGAGCTGTCTATGCTGGACAGAGAACAAAAGAAGTACCTATCAATAAAAACCACTAACGTCTTATTTTCTACCTAATTGCCTCTCAGAAGCAGGTCTGGACTATGTGAACTAGGTTCTTCAGGTTTTTATATCTGTTAAAGGCAGATTAATTTCTTTTTTGCCTCCCTCCCTCCCTCCCTCTCTTCCTTTTTTCCTTTCTTCCTCCCTCCTTTTCATTACACTTTACATGTATTTTTTCAAATATATAGTACAAGTACATGGCACAAAATTTAGAAAGACACAAAAGCTATATAGTTTACAGTGTCTCAGGTTCCCCTTCAGAGAGCCGTTCTTATCAATTCCTAATACGGCCTTCCAGAGATGGTCTGTGTTTATATAAGTATATATACATACATGTATGTATGTAGTCCCTCTGTAGAAATGGCAATATATTATATTCATTGTTTTGTTTCTTACTTTATTCACTTACCAATTTGATATTACCACATATAAAGCCAACTTAAAAAAAAAACACCAAACAGCTGTATAGCCTCCATAGCTTTCCACTATATAGATATACCATTATTTATTTAACCAGTTCTCGACTAGGGACATTTAGGTGGATTACAATCATCTCTGCAATGACCGGCAGAGAAGATTCTGATGTACTGTAAGCAACTATTGACTAGACAGTGGATATGCTATTCTTAGATGTGAACATAATTTTAGTTCATCTTATCCAAACATAATAGTAGTTTCAAACTGTCCATGGAATAAGACGAAACAATACAATTCTTTAGCTAATATCAAAGATTATTTTAAAGTCAACAAAATAAAACTACATTTATCTAGAAAGAATTCTTTATCATATTAGCTCTTATAATGAATGCTAAAGTGCAAAGAAAAACTTCAAAAAATTAGATTTCAATTGCTAACATCCAATTACTGCTGAGGCAATGAAAACAACCGACAATTATGAACTTATCCTCTTCTCTTCAGCTAACTTTAAATTATGTCCTATAGAAAACCTGCCTATAAAGAACTCAGAACCAGTATGGATTTGGTTTTCAAATAAAAAATCGAAAAACTGGCGACAGTTGGTAATGCAACTTCAACGAACAGCAAATGCATATCATTAGGGAAATTTACTCTCTCTCTCCTTAAAGGAAACAGCTCCTAAGGAACAGCTGGATGAATGATGTTGGTCCTTTCCTAGTTTTCCTGTTTCAATGCCTTAGTTCCATGTTCCTCCAATTTCCTGATGATGGGTGAATCTAGCTCCGATTCCAAGATAAATTGAAATAGGAAATAAAGACTAAAAATAAAATAACAAATTCTTTAAAAAACGGCTTCCAAAGAACACAGTATCAACCCAGTGCTAAAAACTGGATTCTGATAGTAGTAGTATTCTGCTAGGCAGATTAGTTGCAAAAAATGCTGCTGTGGGGCTGGCCGAGTGGCACGATGGTTAAGAACTGGCTTGGGACGCCAGAGGGCCCCGGTTCGGATCCCACATATGAGGGCCAATGACACTGCCCTCCACAGCTAAGATGCTGAACAACAGCTCAACCTGGAGCTGGGCTGCCGTGAGTCGCCAGCGACGGCGTAGGCTGCAGCCCCTGTGGCAGTGGGTTGCCATGGGCTACCGTATGTAGCCAGCAGCCGCAGTGAGCGGCCGTCCAGAAGCCGGCGACTGATCTGCCTCGCCCAGGAAGAGCACAATGATGGTGCCAACTTGGGCCAGTGAAGCAACGTCCTCCACAACTAGACTGAAGACCAAAACGACAGCAACTTGTCTGTTCCCCTTCCCCAATTCCCCAGCACTGTTCCCATCCCCCCAATTCCCCAATAAAAATCTTTAAAAAAAAAAATGATGCTGTGGCCTGATTGCTGCCCCTTAGTCCCTGTTCCTGTTTCTAGTGAATTCATTTTCCTGGTATCCTAGTCTCTGCTTGGGACTGGAGCCCAGCCCTGAAATCTCAGTGTGGGAATTTAGCCCCACCAACTGTGATTAGATTGTATATTAGGCACTGTTGTTAAGTGCCAAGTCCAAGAGACAAAAATCCCCTCTCTTAAGGACGCTGACTGCCTGACACAGATGCCTAGTGTTTGCCCTCCAAAGCCTTCACTGCTCTGCAATACACATTTTGGAACATCCTAACAATCCCTCTCATGTTCCCCTGGTTACCAATTGCTGGAATTTGACCAGGCGTATAAAACCCCTAAGCACAGTTCCTTATTTACCTAGCCGAACCCTTGCTATCAACCTAAGCTGCTCTATTAAACAGACCAAGTGCCAGGTTTTTGTCCTCTCCGTGTGATTTGTTCTGCTGTGAATCATGGGACAAGTGAGGTCTTTGGGAATACTGCTTTGAGCCGAGTTTGATGTGTTGCTTCAACTGATAAATCTTAAAACTATGCTGTCCTATATGGTAGCCACTAGCCCCACATGGCTAATGAACATGTGAAATGCGACTCGCTGGAAATGATACATGCTTTAAGTGTAAAATACACATTGTATTCAAAGAATCAGTACAAAGAGAAAGGAAGAAAGGAAGATAAAGGAAGGAAGGAAGGAAACGTCAATAATTTTAAAAGTATTGATTAAATGTTGAAGTAATAATACATATTTGTTGAAAAAAATAATTACTAGGTTTATCTATTTCTTCTCAGCTTTTACTAGATAATTTACAATTGCACATGTCAGTTGCATTATATTTCTACTGAACTGTGCTGCTTTAGAATATTTAACTAATGGCAGCAACAAAGTCATTATTTTGAGAGGTTTGCTTGTATATCTAGAAAAATAACTTAAAATGAAAGTTCTCTACAGAAAAGCAGCCAGCTAATAAATGCTGAAGGAATGTTAGATTAGATTATCACCATTTTGCAATCCCCGATGGAATAACTGGTTCAGATGATGGGCATCATCAATGGATGTTAAGACCATTGGCAAAAGGCTGAAGAGGATATTCATCCAATGGCAAAATGATACCCTGTAGATTATTTATAAACTGCAAAGACAAGACCTGGTGGTCATTACTTTAACGTTATAAATAATGCTACAACTTGACATTCTATGCCTCTTGATATGTGGCAATATGAGGTAAATATTACCTACAAAGCATTTCTCCCCAATGTGTTATTGTGAAAAATTTTAAACACAGCAACAATGAAAGAATTTTATGGTGAAAATTTGTACTCATACTGTCTAATATTTTATTATACAGTACTAACTTTATCACATATCTATCACTCGCCCTATCCATTTTACTTTGATGCAGTTCAAAGTAAATTGCAGCCATTAGTACATGCCCTTCCTAAATAATCTATGAAGTATTCTTGCCAAAAATGTTTAACCAGAATCAAGCCTCTAATCCTAACTTCCAGTTTACAGGAAATGCAGGGCTATATAGGAATAAGTTAAATGACACTAAGAGAAAATTTTAAAATCTAGAATATGGGGCATTCTGTAATGTTAAATGGTTTTAAAAGCTTATGTCATGAAAAAAAAGTATGAGTGATTAAAAATTAAGAGTCTAAAAAGACATAACAACAAATTCCAACTTGTCAACCTAAATCAGATACTATTCAATTTAAAAAAGCTACAAAAGACATTCTTACAGCAACTAGAGAAACATGAATATGGAATGGCTATTAGATGATATTAAGGAATTATTATTAATTTTCTTAGATGTGATAATAGGGACTGTGGTTATGTAGGTGTTTATGCTTTTTTTCTCAGGAGATGAGTGTTAGAGAGAGCGAGTGTGTGTGTAACACTCATACATACACATATATGTAAATTTTTAAATTTATCCATTTATTTATTTTATAGGACTAAAGCAAATATAGCAAAATGTTAACAATTACTGTAATTACTAAGAAGAGGGTGAACAGATGTTCACTGTGCTGCTAGTTCAACTTTTCTGTACTTCTGAAACATTTCAAAATAGAAATTAGGGGGGCGCGTAGATAAAAAAAAGTTCATTGCAGAGAGGCTGATATGGTCTCTTCTATTTTGGCAAGCCTGGCCCTTTCAGATTGAGAATGTGTCTTTAGGGGAAAAAAATCTTACCATAGATCCATGTAAAAATATGTCTCTATAGCATTGTTTATTTCCACCTCAGAGCCAGGGCTATTATTAGCGAAGAGTCTCCCATATGCAACATTCCAGCTGGTGGTTTAGTCTGTAAGAAAGGCTTTCATGCTGTGGTGTTACAGAGACAGCTCAGTCACAAGGGTAGGCTCGTGGCTCGTGACCAGGCGCACTGCCACCATCTGGATTACGTGGAGATTAAGGCAGTCCGCTTCACAACTTCAGGTTTTACAGTATACATCGCTTGTTAAAAGTCCCCTGTGATGGAACTCGCCTATTCCTGGCAACTTCAGAAACAAAGGTTTCTGTGATTTTTCCCTTAAGATTCACTCTGCTTTCCCAACTTCGGCTGTTCCGGAAGTCCTCAGGACCGCGTGCCCCTTACGTCCAAAGACACACTTATCACCCAGGGAATTAGAGTTAGAAACACACAATCATTAGCAGAGATCATTGGATATGGTATAGCATGAACTAAATAAAAGTATAAATTTATATTAGTAACTAAAACAAAATTTACAACTCTTCCCCCCGCTTCCCCCCCCCCCCCCCCGCCCAGATATGGAATCTTATGTGAACAACAGTTGAGGAAAAGAAAACTGGCCACTGACAACCATGACCCACCTTTCAAACTTTCGTTAGAAATACCATATAGCCTGGAAACAAAGAGGCACCTTAGAGGAAGGAGTGAAAAAGACTAGATAATATTAGACACTAAACAAAAACTGGTATAATTATGGCTTAGGTTTTACAGTTATGAATGTTCTTCGGCATAAAGAAACAACAGTAAACTATGAAACAACCTTAGTGAGGACAAGGCAGCACACAGATTCAATAAAGTACTGTAATTATAATGACATATGTCTCGTTTTACACGCAATGAAAAAAAGTTAAGTGGTATTTACCAGGGTTTGTCTTCTCAAGTTGATACCATCGGTAAAATGCTCTTTTCTTCTGTTCACTCAGGTCTGATCCCTGTTGTAACAGCCAGTGAGAGATCCGGCTCTGACTGATACCTACGCAGAAAGAGAAATAGCTGTTGCAGGTGCTGAAATCACATGGAAGTTAAGGGAATTTCTGTTGGTTCTAGGTTATTGGGTTCTTTGTTCTCTTCTTTATAAGACAGCTGCAACTTGAGCAAAGTATTTAACATTAGGCTTCTTTGTAAAGGCTGACACTGGCTAGGCTAGTACTCAGAAATGATCTATTTAGAGGTCAAAGCATTTCATTAACCAAGATTTTAAAGCGGTCTCTAAAATTGATCTCTAAACCAGGTCCATGAACATATGAGCTAAGTGAAGAGATTCCTAAGTAATGGTTATTTATCAGATGTTGATTCGATTTATGCTGCTTCAACCACCATCACCTGTACCTCAATCTTGGTTTGGAATATTAGAAATTTTACTAGATATTGAGAAGAAGGAAAAAATCAAGCCAGCGAGTTTTGCTACTCATTATTGATATGGATAAAAAAGAAAGGAGAGTGGGGCAGCCGGTTAGCTCAGTTGGTTAGAGAGTGGTGTTCATAACACCAAGGTTGCTGGTTCGATCCCCACATGGGCCACTGAGATCCACCCTCCACAACTAGATTAAAACAACTACCTGACTTGGAGCTGATGGGTCTTAGAAAAATACTCTGTTCCCCGATAAAAAAAATTTTTAAAAAAGGAGAGGTCATTGAAAATGCTCTTGTCAATAAGATTTCTGGCTTATTTGTGAATTCATTTAGGCATTTCAGACTTACTACATATCATCAGTACAGATAACTAAGAACTGGAAGACCTTTACAGTTATGCTACAATATGATCTCTTAAGAAACTTAAGAGGTAAAGATGTTCTTCTAACACATAGACTTACAGAATCATAGGCTCCTGGTCATTATAGCTATCCCAAAATGAATAATTCAACACATAACTGGCAAAGCAAAGAATAACAGGAAAGATGAAACTGTCTTATATACCCATAAGCCACTTTCCAAAGGACCAGTCAGCTATCACAGTGGGTTAACAGAATCTAAACTCTCCCAAGGAATTACTTATGGTAACTGGATAGTACTGAATACCACCTGTGCCAACACCTGTTTAAAGCTATAACGCACAACAGGAAGAGTGGTTATCATGAAGTATTCAAATCCCCTAATGTGGGAAGAAGCAGGAGGTCTGCTGATCACATTTAACTCATTCATTAAAAGCAAATCCCTAGCGTTTCATACTTTTAAAAACCTACGTCAGAAGAAAATTTGAGGAAATGCAGAAGGTAAACTTTGCTGAAAAAAAGGTTGGGCTGCAAAGCAACATATTCTGATTGAAAACCCCACTTTCAAAGGGTGAAATTCAAATCGTTTTTAAAAACCTAAGTAATAACATTCTCAAGTAATTCACACAGCAGTTTTCCAATGGATTGAAGATCTATGATGCAGGTGCTGGCAGCTAGCACTGTATACTTGTTCTAAGAGAATGCAAATTATTCTAGATAATTAAACTGGCTGTGTTTAGCAATGCTTTCACCAAAAGTCTAGATTCAGGCATTAAACTATTTTTTTACACTACTTTTAAACAAGAGTGAAAATAACCACTTATCACCATGAAATCAAAATTGATTTTCATGTCAACAAAATAAAACAATTTTAAATGGATTCTTCATATTGGTACCATACTACTCAAAAACAATGGGAATTTGAGGGAAATCTTTTAAGAAAAAAAAAAAGACTGTGTCAGTTCTTTTACTTTCAGCATTAAATCTCCCTCACACAGTTAGATCACATACAGAACAAACCAGAGCCCACTAGGGAATCAGAGATGCGCAGGCTCTGGCTGGGCTGCAGTGGGGGAAGAGGGCAAAGCCCATCAAAAGATTAAATTATGGTACATTTGCATAATAAAAACTGGGCAGACTTTTTAAAAATTAATGTTCTAAAATAGCCATCAAAAACAAACAAGAACAGGGCCGGCCGAGTGGCGCGTTGGTGAAGAGTTGACTTGGGATGCCAGCTCTGAGCAGCAGAGCCCCGGTTTGGATCCCCCATTTGGGCCAGTGATGCTGCGCCCTCCACAGCTAAGATGGTGAACAACAGCTCGACCTGGAGCTGGGCTGCTGTGAGTCACCGGTGATGGCGAAGGCTGCAGTGGGGCTGCAGTAAGCCACCGTGAGAGGCCGGCAGCCGCCATGGGTGGCCGTCCAGTGGCCACTGACCAATCTGCCTCACCCGGGAGGAGTGCAATGATCACAATACCAACATGGGCCAGTGAAGCGACGTCCTCCACAACTAGACTGAAGAACAAAAGGACAGCAACGTGTCTGTTCTCCTCCCCCAATTCCGCAACAAAATCTTTAAAAAAAAAAAAACAAGAACAGAAAACAAAATCCAACCAAACAAAAAGCCATGGCAAGGGCACGGAGTATATAGAACTCTCATACTGCTGACGGAAGGGTAAAATGTCATAGCCATTTGGGGAAACTGGGCGGTCTCTATTAAAGCTGAACATATGCATACTATATGGTCTAGCAGTTTCTTTCTTCAGTATATAGCACAGAACTGTGCATGTTCAATAAACATGTGTTCAAAAGACATGTACAAGAAGTCTTATAGGAGCACTATCCATAATAGTACCCAAGTTGAAACAACTCAAATACCCATCAACAGAATATATAAATTGTGATATTTATGTATTCTGCTATAGACTACTATACCAAATAGAAAAAAAATAAATGACTGCTATATGCAACCACAGGGATAAATCTCACAAAAATAAGGTGGGCCAAAAAAAGTCAGAAACACACATAAAAAAGCCACACACAGCTGTATGATTTAATTTATATAAAGTTATAAAACAGACAAATTAACTGTATGGATGGCAATCAGAAAAGTGGTTACTCGTGGCTGTGGGGGAGGAGGTTCTATCCTGGGAGGCAGCTTCTGTAAGGACCAGCAGTGTTCAAGATCTGGATGGTGGTTATAAGTGTGTCTTCACTTTTTAAAAGCCTTTAAGTTGGAAAATTTTCCCTGTATTTCAATTAAAGTTTCCCCAAAAAAGTTTTTAAAATTCTATATAGTGTTGAAAAAATAAATGGATATGTATCAATGTGGAAAGATACCAATGACATAAATGAAAAAATATATAGTTTTATAAACATATAATTTACTTTTTTGTTTTGTAGAGTAATTAAAGCTTATATATAGCCAAAGAGGGTAGAGTGTAGACTTCCTATACCTCTATATTGTCTTCTTAATTGTTATACAAATATGTATTAATGTATTTTATTTTTAACCTATACTATATAGTTTATTGGTTGTTTTATAAACAATGCCATTAAGTTAAACAACAAAGAAGTGCAAAAAGAAGTTAATTTCGGCATTCCCCTGGCAACTCCACTCTGAGGTAAACCATGTTAACTATTAATATATGTTTCTCCACCATTTTCTCTATGTATAATTATTAACTTAATAAAAAAGGTAGGGAAGGTAATAAAGAATATCCTCCCGTCTAGTCTCTTGTACGAGCAAGAAATAAACAAAGAACTTCTTTCCTGTAAATTCAATCTGTTTTCATATAACAAATATAGAAAACGAAGTAATAAAGCAGGTTTTTCCTGAAAAAGCACTATAGAAATTAAACATGTACAATAACACGTTTTCCTGTGATTTTTCTCAGCTCGCAGCTTGCTGACTGGTGAGGCTCTTCCGCCCATCCTTCTGTGGCTGCTCCATGCCTTTGGAACCTCAGTAGAGCTTGGTGTCAGAAGGCCCCACAGCCTGGCTTTACTGTCAGTCTGGGTGCTTCTCCTTGGGAGAAAATTTCCCTAACTCCCCTCTTACTTCCCACTGCTGGTAAAAATGTCATTCGCTACAAGTTTTAGCTTCTCAAAACTTTTTCTTTACCTTTCACAGGGCATAAGAAAAAAAAATTTTACATATAACCTTTAATACAGAAAAGACTAAAAACTAACCCCTGATTACTTTCTTGCCAATAAGAAAGTGATCACACTGTATTCAAAGGGCAAAAAAAAAGCCTTTTTAAAAAATTAATTGTTATTATTTATTGGGGTGACACCAGTTAGTAAAATTACATAGGTTTCAGGTGTACAATTCTGTTGTACATCATCTATATATCACTATGTGTTCACCATCCAGAGTCAGTTCTCCTTCCATCATCATATATTTGACCCCCTTTACCCTCTTCTACCACCCCACCCCCCTCACCCTCTGGTAACCACTAAACTGTTGTCTGTGTCTATGAGTTTTTGTTTGTCTTGTGTCTTTTATTACTTTCAGTTTTATAGCCCACATATGAGTGGAATCATGTGGTTCTCGACTTTTTCTGTCTGACTTATTGCCAGCCTCATCCATATTCTTTTCTGAGCTTCGGCCCCATCAGGCTTCTTCCAGTTCCTCAAATGTTGTGCTCCCTTCCACTAGAGGGCTCTCCACCACAACCCATTCTTGTCCACATTTCTAATAGTACAAATTTAAATGCTTCCCCTTTCTTCCACTTCCTGTGGAGTGTCACACTACTGACCACTGTCATCATCTTCATCCTTAGAGTGCTGGATTACAACTCTCCAACGCAACTTTGAGTCAGCTTCAGAGACTGCTTTGCTAGCTCCTTACGTGTCAGTGACCCCAAGGGTCCATCTTTAAGCATCTTCTCTCACTCTTATACACTCTTCCTCTGGTTATCCCAGCTATCCACAATCATGATTTAACATCATCTAAATGCCAGAGAGCCAGCCTGTTCTTTCAAACCATCTGCTAGATAGCTTCATGAGAATTTCCCATGCGTCTTTAATATAGTAAATACAATTCATTCTCCTCTTCCTTTTAATTTTCTCTTCTCCCTGTCCCCCATCTCAAGTTTATCTTCCACTCTACTCTTTCCCCCAAACCTCACATGCTTACTAAATCCAAACTTTCTCTTACTAAATTCTCTTCATGTTCTCTCCAATCCTCATTCCTGCAGTTTGGAATCTCAGCCTCTTTTGCTTGGACAACTGAAATCTGATGAAAAGAAAAAGCCAT